AGGGGTTTCTAGTTGTGCTGTGATATCCATAGGCTGGTCAACAATCACATCATCAACATCGCTATCTGACTTGTCGTCTACTTCATCACCTGTTTCCAAAATCTCTGTCCTTGTTACGTTTCTCGTTGGTCCATTCCCGTCTGCAAGTTGGATCGTATATATACATTTTCTCCTGGCCTTGCAACCACCTTGTAGGGTATGGATGACCACATGTCCTGTATTTTGTTTCTCCCTAACACACGATTTCGCAATAATACTCTTGTGCCAATTTTGATTGGTAGCTCCTTAGTATTCCTGTTCTGAATCTCTCTTCTACGTTGAGCATTTTTCTCTGTATTTGTAGCTGCTGAATGTAAAGCTTCGCTGAGTCTTTTCTTATGTTTATTGATCCAATCGTCTATGTTGGACTCTGATTCCGAATGAGTTCCAAGGATGAAATCTATGGGCAATGTAGGTTCACGGCCAAAAAATAAGAAGTAAGGAGAAAATCCTGTTGAAGAATGCACAGTAGAGTTATAAACATACACTAACTCTGGCAGATATTCCGTCCATCTTTTTTTCTGTTCAGGAGTAAGAGTGCGTAGTCGATCATGCATGGTGCGGTTAAATCGTTCGCACTGTCCATTACCTTCGGCATGATAGGGGGTAGTTCTTGATTTCTCCACACCGTAAATCTTGCAAAGCTCTTGTACGACTTGACTTTCAAAGTTACGTCCCTGGTCGCTATGTATTCTGCGCGGTATCCCATATCGTACGAACCATTCCTTCACAATCGTTTTAGCTACTGTCACAGCTTTCTGATCCCTCGTTGGTATTGCCTGGGTGAATTTTGAGAATATATCCGTCATCACCAACACGTTTTCCCGGCCATCAGTTGACTTCTCGAGTAGAGTATAGTCAATTGCCAGTATCTCCATGGGACGAGATGCAATGAGATTTCCCATCGGTGGCTTTACACTTGGCATGGGCGCTTTTGCAATCATGCAACGTTCACAGTTCTTACACCACTTTTGCACATCCTGAGCCATGCGTATCCAGAAACACCTTTTGCATAGTAATGCCAATGTCCTTTCCACGCCCTGATGTCCTGCGTGATCGTGTATACTTTCTAACACTTTGTCTTTCAAAATTTCCGGTAGCAGAATTTGTTTGATTTCACCAGTCTCGTCAATACATCTCTTGAATAACACTGAATTCTCCATGCATAATTTGTTCTTTTGGTTTAGTAGTTTTCTCACATCCTTCTTCTCCTTACGTATAACACTTCTGGTTAATTGATCTGGCCTCTTTAACCAATATAAAACACGGCTTAAAACAGGGTCATGCTCTTGTAAGGGTGCCATATCTGCAGGAATAAATCCTGGTAACACTGTAGATGCTTCAAGTGCTTCAATGTTTACTGAACATGCTTTTACAGAATGCACATTATCGTCAAACAGTTCACAAATTACTGTACTTTTGGTCACTGACTGAATAATGGTTTCAGAATCTTCCTCCACCAAACAAGGTCTTCTACTAAGCGCATCAGCATTCTTATTTACTTTTCCAGATCTGTATCGGATGGAAAAATCGAATTGTGCTAGCTGCCTGGCCCACCTCATTTCTGTTGCTCCAAGTTTAGCTGTCTGCAAATAGCTTAAAGGATTATTATCTGTATATACGATGAATTTAGATCCTAGCAAATAATCCCGGAACTTATCAGTTACAGACCACTTTAACGCTAACAGTTCAAGTTTCATCGAGCTATAATTGTCCATATTTTTCTCTGTGGGTCTTAATGTTCGTGATGCATATGCAATGACAACATTCTTCTTGTCGCGTTCTTGCGATAAAACGACACCTAAACCATGTAGACTTGCATCCACTTCTAATACAAATTCTTTTGAAAAATCTGGGTATCCAAGTACTGGAGCGGACGTCAGTTTAGATTTTAAATCCTGGAGAGCTCGGTCACAATCGTCATTCCATAATGTCATAAACTGTTCTGTTTTCATGTTTGTTTTAGCTTTCTTTGGTTTGGACAATAGAATGTGTAACAGCGCAGCAATCTCTGCGAATCCCTTGACGAAACGACGGTAATATCCTGCTATTCTGAGAAATGAACGTAGTTGGCGCTCTGTAGTTGGTTTGGGCCATAAAGATATTACTTCTGTCTTTGCAGGGTCGGTAAACACACCTAGTTCTGACACAATATGTCCTAAATAACACACTTTCTTCCTGAAGAAATGACATTTGGACGGCTTTACCTTCAATCCATGTAATTTAAGTTTTGAAAAGATGACGTCTAATTTGTCCATGTGATCATCTTGTTCTTGGAAAACACTAAAATGTCATCCAGATATAACACCAGAATTTCAAAATTTTCTTCATGTAAACAAACTTCCATCAGGCGTTGGAAAGTTGCTGGACTATTACATAGTCCGAACGGCATGCGTAGAAATTCGTATAGCCCGCCAGATCCAACGCGGAGTGCTGTTTTATGTATGTCCTTTTCGTCGACAGCAATTTGATGGTACCCCTGAGCAAGATCAATTGTGCGAAAATATTTGGCTCTGTTTAGCAAATCCAGGGTCTCCTCGATCCGAGGTAGGGGGTAAGCATCTTTTATAGTTTTAGAATTCAAAGCACGATAGTCGACACATAAGCGTAAACTTCCATCCTTCTTTCTCACGATCACTATGGGAGCTGCATATGGACTGTGACTTTTCCTAATAATGCCTTGATTGAGTAATTTCTGGATATGTTGTCTAACCTCTTCTATCTGATTTGGTGGAATACGACGATGTGGAATTTTTACTGGTACATCATCTGTTAGGTTGATGGTGTGAGTGATTGTTGTTGAATAACCAAGGTCATCATCACCAATCGCGAATACATCTTTGTGTTTCTGTAGTAAACTTTGCCATTTTCTTTGCTGCTCCCCTGAAAATTCTACATCAGTCACATCCAATTTTACTGGGAATGATGAGTCTGCAGTCTGATTTTCACTCTTAATATTCTGATCGTGTCCACTCTGTTTCACAATGCGTCTTATCACAAGTTCAGTATCTGGTATAACTTTGACTTTGTACTCATCTTCTGATGAATGAAGTAACTCTGCACTGTGCACTACACCTAATGTAGTCTTTGGTGTCAACCACACATCTTCATGTCCAATGTTCACCAATTTCACTGGTACTGTCTCATCTTTCATTTCAATGAATGTGTCCACCAATAATATATTCTTAGGTAGAGAACCATTTTCACTTGATATTGCTTGAACTACTGCGGTATGTGGAACAGATGACTTGCTTCTTCTCGTTGAACCAAGTACCACTTTCATCGAATTTGCTGGAATTTTCACTGGTTGTTGTGCTGACAGTTTCACAAATCCAATCTGTTTGGTTTCCTCGTCTAAGTCCAAAATAGACATTACATCGTTCCAAACAGTTTCTTTTGTTGTCGAGGGTGTCTCGCGTGAATGTTTCCTAACACATTGGAGAACATTACATCCTAGAACAACTTGTACTGGGTCACTACTGCTAGTCACACTTTCCACAATCATTCCTACATTTGTGTACACAGTGTCCTGTATTTTCAAAGTAACTTCAACATACCCAAGATACGGAATATTCAGCTTGTTGGCTGCAGATAGTTTTAAAATTTTAGAAGTATCACTAAATGTGCACCAGTGTCTAATAAACATTTAACTTTCACTCCATTTAGTTCTATACAAGTTTCCGGACACTTTGCAGATGCACGATTGATTTTCTGATGTAACGTTTCTATTGAGTCGTGGTTATCTTCCCTCGCAGTTCGACTCCTCACTGAGAAGGTTTCCAGTTTGGGTTTACAGATGTGGGACGAAATATAGTGCTTGATCCTTTTTCAGATGGACAATTCGAAGACACATGTCCTATGCCGCCACAGTTATAACACTGCCTTCCTCTACCAACGGTCGAATTTCCTCGTCTCCCATTTTGTCCTCTGTCAAACCTTTGTCCAAATCTTTGCCTTGATCTCCCTCGTTCTTCTTGTTGAAAACTTGATTGTCTATAAAACTTTCTGTCTGACATCCTGGTTAATCTGTCTATCTGTTGTTGTTGTCTATCCAACATCTCTTGTTGTTTCTTTACGAGAGTCATTAATTCACTCACTTCGGTATTTGGAGTAGGTACACATGATGTTTTCTTCACACTGAGATTCACATCAGGATTGTCTTCTATCCATCGTAACATTTTAAGTCTGAATTCAAAAAATGGTACGTTGCCAGAGTCTAACACAACTTTTCTCAGTTCTTGTCGGGTGTTCTGATCTCTGATTCCATCAATAAATCGCTCAGTAAGTTTAACATCAGTCACTTGCTCTTTCTTGTCTTTCTTGTTGATTTTCTGTGCCATCTCAGTTAGTACGAGAGAATATTTTTCTAACGTTTCATCCTGCTTTTGGTCTCGTTGATAAAATTTCTGGAGAAGTTGGGTAGTAGTCTCTTTGATTTCAAACACAGCCTCCAAGATGTCGAGAATTTGCTTTCCTGTTTTTCTCTCTGTGTGAGGACGAAGCTTCACTTCTGATTTTGCGGATCCAGTTAAATGGTCCATGATGAAATCTACGAAGTTGTCTTTGGACTGTGCGGACTGTATATGTTCTCTCATGTCCGAGATCCAATCATAAACATCTGGGTCTCCATCCTTAACTGGTCGACCTCCAAACTTAGGAAATTTTCTTTCGGATTTCAAGTAAACGACAGGAGATGTGGAGCCTTTAGCTTCTAACTTCTTGATTTGTTCCTGTAAGTCTTTGATTTCCTGTTCCATTGTTGTGAATAGACTGAATATAGAACTGGTCATAGAATACTGCAACAAACACAATGCACACTGTCAACTTGTACACTTTCTTTCTGGGTCCTGGAATCCTTCTGCAGGAAAATCCTAACCAAAATGGATCCTACGCGGGGAACCCCGATGGATATCCTAACCAAATGGATCCTACCGGCGACGCCAAATGTAACACGGTGATTGTGTTCAATGTCCTTTTTTCCATTTATGAAGAAAGTAAATCAGTTGACAATGTTCCTACAATAATATAATAATAATAAAAATTTCTGTACATTACTCTCAGTATAAAAATCTTATGTTTACAAACCTTTGAAATAACTTCATAATGATTTTATCTCAATTCATTACTCTTTATATCATTCATCCCATAATAAATAATATCATAAAAATTCATACACACAGCCTTCTTACATAATAAACTAACACATTACCTAAGTAAGGAGCATATGTGGCGTTTACAGCATATGTGGCGATTACATCATCTGGTTCATTAATGCATCTAGTCAAGGATAAAAATACACAAATATAGATGTTTATATGTTCAAGAAAAACTTGCAATATTTTAACCTCATGAGTATTCAATCTCTCATGTAAACAATGAACACTGACTTCAATAGAGAGACTATTTACAAATTAAAAATATCTTTAAATAGAGTTTAAAATACTTTTTCATGCATACTTATAATATTTGCATACTTATTTGTTACATACACAATGCTAGTTGCAATTATGAATGACAAATTTTCACAAAATTCTACTTACATTCACTCTCATAATTTTCCGCCAACAATGGCTAGGAAAGCACAAGAAATGACCAGCATGCAACAGAGTGTCCCACGTGACATCACCAAAAATATTCACAATTATTTCCAAGCATAACTTTTTCCAAAATATGACAATACTTTTACCAAGAACTTAAAATAATAACAAAATAATAAAAATAAACCATTTCAGTAAATACCAAAATTCTAAATCTCATACAATTTCCAATATTATGTAATATGTTACAATGTAAACAAACCAAGCTGGTCCAGTGGTAACATTCCCAAGCGCGGAGCAAAAGGCCGGCGGTTCAAATCCCGAAAAGTCCAACACTTTATTTTTTTATATAAACAATTAACAAAATTTTAAACATAATATTTCTACCTCTTACATTATATACTCGTTTTTCGTTCTCGTTTTTCACGTCAGACGAAATAGTACGTCATGGCAGGGGTTAAACCTAAATGGACCTTGAATATATAGAACACCAAATTAACATACATGTATATTCAAATATCTGTACCTATCTTCAGATTGAATTAAAGATGGGTACAACTGAATTAAAGATAGGTACATTTGAATTAAAGATAGGTACATTTGAATGAAAGATAGGTAAAACTGAATTAAAGATAGGCTCAATTGAATTAAAGATAGGTTCAATTAAATTAAATGTTGGTGCAATTGATTTGAAGAAAGGTACAAATCCTTGCAAACTGAAGATAGGTACAAAAATTTGAATGTACAGTGTATGTTAATATGTGAAATTCTTATTTACATGTTTTAAGCATACATTTACTAAATATCCAGTAGTTATAACCTGTTCAATCTGTTTGTTACTTTTTTATTCTTCACACACTTCTTGATTGTTTTGAAAATATGATAGGCCAAATTTTTTTTATTAGTTGTTTTACGGATCCGCCGACCCCATTTTTGTAAGTTTTGGAAAAAAAATAAAAATTCCATTCAATCCTTTTTTTATAATCGCCGATCGAACTTTACTTCAAACATATAAAAAAAAATCCGGAAATGACCGTACATTGTTTGAATTTTACTTAGTTGTGATCAGAATCATGTAAACGCTTCTACTATTGACCCTTTTAATAAAAACTCTGCAAGCGTTTTATAGTCAGAGATGAAATAAGTATGACGGCCATGTGAAACAATTTAGGTTTTTTAAAACAGAATATAAATGTTTTAAGAACAATATTAAATGTATAAATGTATGACGGTTTTTATGAGCTGATCAGGCTGGTAATTATTCTATATATGATGTTATCTGATCAGCGAATGGAGTGTGGTGGTTGAGGAAATTACAGCCAAAACCAACAAATCTGATGTCGTCACTTGCACTCCATCCGACACCCATAACTTTTCTTTGAGGGTTTGGCGAAGTTTTAAACAGTTATATCTAATGGTTAGTTAACAGTTCATATATTATTTATGACATTTTTAAAAGCACATGTTTGACTGTATTTTAAAAATCTGCAAGACGTGTTGTCAATTGTTAAAGCGTCAGAGAAACAAGACTTTTTTGTCATTGTACAGGTATGAATCTATCAAATGATGTGAAAGAAATGTTTCTTAAAGTTTTAAATTTTAGATTTGGAAAAGGAACTGACTCATCAGGATGTTCTAAGACAAAAAATGTTTGTATGAGAGTCATAGGAATGTGAAACCCTATGGGGATGACTTATCATTCTAGTAAGTTTATTTGTGTTCATTGATTGTGCACTGAATTTTAGTTTTATGCTGTTTAATACTGTTTAAGAAAAGGTATTATCTAAATTTGATTAAACTTTTATTATTTTACAGGGGGTTGTGTAAAATTTGCTGAAGTGTGTTTTTCTGTGGCAATGTGGACGTAGCAGTGAGAGGACACCCGTATCCAGTCATAGACATACACAGAAAAGTTTAGCATTGTTCACATAATATGTCTCTCTGCTCGAAGAATCGTTCTCTTTTAGTGAGGAATGCCAAGAAAAAGACATTTCTGTGCAATGTTCTGAGGTTGATTTCCCCAACTGCTTTGATATGCTGAATATTAAAAGTTTTGAACATTGAACACTTCTTCTTTTTTTTTTTTTTTTTTTGTAGCCACCCAATGGACATTTTCCCCAAAAAAATCCGTAAAACAACTAATAAAAAAAAATGGCCATACGAGTATAACATATGATTTCATAATATAAATTTTATTATACAGACAATACAAGTTTTTATGTAACCCATTTTACATTCTTTTTATGTTGTAAGTTACACAGAACCTATTCACATTTCACATACAACGGGTACCAACCTATTCAAAAAGAAGTCCCGAGAAAATGACATGGCGTCCCGAAAATTTTTAGCTGTTCGTGTTATTGGTGAATTTTTAAATAGTGCTTTAGATACACACACAATCAAAAGACAGCTACAGCGTTCCATAGATACATGTAATGATTCGTAGGAGATAGAACCGAATTCATTATGCAGGTAAACAGCGGCTATTTTACAATTTTCTAAATCTGTTTTTAAAATATGCCTAATAACAATGCTGCATACATAAAGTGGAAAACGTGTCCATTGCTTTGGTTTTTGGTTACAGGTAGATATGTTACGTAAATGACCTGGAGCATGTAAATCAAAACAATGTCTACTGTAAATATGGGTCAGTTCAGGTAAGAAAGTTCTACTTATTATAACTGATAAGAAGAGAAAGAAAAAATACTTTTAAAAAAAAGTATCTCTGAATCAATTCTTGCATTAATGCTTATTCTATTATTTTTACGATAAACTCTTCACGGTTGTATTGACTTGTATTTTTAAAATGAGGTCAGTCTGGAATAGTCAGAACTACGATGGCCGATAGCGGCCCTAAAGAGTGTACATGAAACTTTTCTTGACACTTTACACAAAAGTTTTTGTAGACTGTACATGGAATTTTGCAATGAGGCTGTACACTTTGCACACTTTTTGTTTCAAGTGTAACTTGTCATTGGGTTTCGTTGAAAATGCTGTACTCGTTACACACATAACATTAGTGTAAATTGACGGCCGCTATCGGCCATCGTACTGAACAGACCAATTGCAGACAATCATCTATTTTTGACCTTTAAAGCTGACATGAATTCTTAAAAACGCAACTTTTTCATCTATGTACGACTTGTTTCATACCTATTCCGCCATATTTCTTTCAGATACCTTGTCTTAATACCCGAATGCCCTCGTTACACTTGAATGATTTTTTGGCTTGGCTATCGACTTGTGCACATCTCCGATGGTAAAACATTTGAAAACACGTGGGTTGATCAAGACATTTCAAAACCACACAACATAATAATCATATTTCTGAATAATTATAGATTTGAATCAAATGTAATAAAAAAAGAAAGAAAATGTAAGTTTGAAAGAAAGATTTAGTTGCACGGGTACGCATTTTTACACTGCGCCAATTTATGCAGAACAAACATGAAATAAAAAGCACTAAAACCCGTAAGCACACTTTGAAATTATTATCATTTGAATGGAACAAAACAATCAGCGTCTTTGATTTGCAGGTTTTATGCAGACTTTGATGCATGTCGAGAAAACGCGTCGAACGCTGTAAACGTACCCATACCTGGTAATAAAGTCACTGTATCGGTTCGAAGATGTGCACAAGTCAAGTGAAATACACCCTGAATTCCATTTATTGAAATATGCATCACAAAAAAGAAATAAACTCCATAAAAACTCAATAAACACACTGTATCTACTCCGTACAGTCTAGCGCGTCGATACACTTTACAATGTAGTCCGTGCTGATCAGATTTTGGTCAGGGAAAATATCACAAGTGGAAAAGAGTGGAATTTGCGCGGCTGAAATTGGGGGGGGGGGGGGGGGGGGGGGCTAAAGTATAATTATAACGGCTTCATAAGGTATAACTGAAAATTGTCTATCTAGTTCTAATAAACATCGCAAAATTCATTTGTCAATTACAACTGATTATTTTAGTACTAATCTCAAATCTAAACCAAGTAATTTGATATACGGTAAATATTTAGTTCAAGACTTAATAACATTTAACCAGAATACAAAAGTTTATGTGTGCATCTGTACGTTCTTTAACACACGCGCGGAAAAAACATCCCCCTTTTAGACTGATATTGAGGCATTTGTATTTTAAGGGCGGGGGGCAGAAATAATTGACATGGCCGTTACCTAAATATTCTTGGAAGACAGACATTTCTGCCAATTCCATGTTTGAAGATTTTTTATTGTCTCACTCCGACCACAAAGTATGAACATTTTTGCGGAATGTGGTTGATTTATAATTATTACAGGAAGTCTTTCGAGATTTCATTATCCCTGTCTGACAGTCTAGTTTTTTTTAAAAATAAAAATAATTTCTGTTGCAATATTTGGGAGATACTTTTAAAAACCTTGGTAGGGAAACTTGAAACCTGGTGGAATACAGATAATTTTTGATTACTCTTTTACTCATTGAACTCTCTCTCTCTCTCTCCTCCTGTAACCATCTGTAAGCGCAGTAATAGATATAAAATCATATGTATTTTGTACTGTACCATTTATTAGATCTTGGGACAGATCAAAGATTTTTTTTTTTTGTCAGGCGGGGATGTCGAAACTTGTTCAAAAATTGAAATAATAATTTTACTTTTGACAAGAAAATAAACCTAAACGCCGAAATTGAAAGGAAAATACATGTAAACGTGAAGTCTACATCATAGGAATGGGAACATTGGGAACTTTCTCAAATACATGTACCTTCTCAGGTAAGGAATCTGGATAAAAATTATTTAGACAAGAGGTATAAAAAAGCTAATTTTTGGTAGGATGTGGAACTCTCATCGGCAGTTTGCTTTCCCTTCCTATATGCTTCGACTATTAATAATTTATATCCAACCAGATATTTCCTGACATGCAAACCCCCCCCCCCCCCGTAACCACGCCCAAACTTCAAAACCTATTTCGGGGGGGGGGGGGGGGTAGCCGATGACTTCTAATGCTTCAAACCTTAGCCTTTTCATACCAATTTAACACAAATTCGCGTTTACCAGGGAGTCTGCGTTTTCCGAGGGGGTTCCTACGTAACTTTTTTTCTTGCTATAGTAAATAAATTTAATAACCTTGCAAATCCCAGGGGAGGGGGGGGGGGCTAAAGTATAATTATAACGGCTTCATAAGGTATAACTGAAAATTGTCTATCTAGTTCTAATAAACATCGCAAAATTCATTTGTCAATTACAACTGATTATTTTAGTACTAATCTCAAATCTAAACCAAGTAATTTGATATACGGTAAATATTTAGTTCAAGACTTAATAACATTTAACCAGAATACAAAAGTTTATGTGTGCATCTGTACGTTCTTTAACACACACGCGGAAAAAACATCCCCCTTTTAGACTGATATTGAGGCATTTGTATTTTAAGGGCGGGGGGCAGAAATAATTGACATGGCCGTTACCTAAATATTCTTGGAAGACAGACATTTCTGCCAATTCCATGTTTGAAGATTTTTTATTGTCTCACTCCGACCACAAAGTATGAACATTTTTGCGGAATGTGGTTGATTTATAATTATTACAGGAAGTCTTTCGAGATTTCATTATCCCTGTCTGACAGTCTAGTTTTTTTTAAAAATAAAAATAATTTCTGTTGCAATATTTGGGAGATACTTTTAAAAACCTTGGTAGGGAAACTTGAAACCTGGTGGAATACAGATAATTTTTGATTACTCTTTTACTCATTGAACTCTCTCTCTCTCTCTCCTCCTGTAACCATCTGTAAGCGCAGTAATAGATATAAAATCATATGTATTTTGTACTGTACCATTTATTAGATCTTGGGACAGATCAAAGATTTTTTTTTTTGTCAGGCGGGGATGTCGAAACTTGTTCAAAAATTGAAATAATAATTTTACTTTTGACAAGAAAATAAACCTAAACGCCGAAATTGAAAGGAAAATACATGTAAACGTGAAGTCTACATCATAGGAATGGGAACATTGGGAACTTTCTCAAATACATGTACCTTCTCAGGTAAGGAATCTGGATAAAAATTATTTAGACAAGAGGTATAAAAAAGCTAATTTTTGGTAGGATGTGGAACTCTCATCGGCAGTTTGCTTTCCCTTCCTATATGCTTCGACTATTAATAATTTATATCCAACCAGATATTTCCTGACATGCAAACCCCCCCCCCCGTAACCTCGCCCAAACTTCAAAACCTATTTCGGGGGGGGGGGGGGGGGGGGGGGGGGGGTAGCCGATGACTTCTAATGCTTCAAACCTTAGCCTTTTCATACCAATTTAACACAAATTCGCGTTTACCAGGGAGTCTGCGTTTTCCGAGGGGGTTCCTACGTAACTTTTTTTCTTGCTTTAGTAAATAAATTTAATAACCTTGCAAATCCCAGGGGAGGGGGGGGGCATGGCACTCATGCATAGAATCACAACACAGCCACTTCAATTTATATTTATGGGGGACCTCCAAAATCAGTTGACAAGCAAAAAAAAACAAACAAACAAAAAAAAACAACAACAAAACAAAACAAACACAAAAAAAACAAAAAAACTAAGCACCACACTCTATACAATCCTTTTTGGTAGGGGATAAAGGAGGCTTCCTGTAACTTTTCTGTTCAGTACATTACTTTTGAATGCCTGAATCTGCGTATTTTCCTGCAAACAAAAAAATGTGGAGGGAGCTTCCAAATCAAAATTTTAATTTATTTAAAACTGCAGCAAAGATTATCCTCATAAAAAGTGAGCCCCCCCCCCCCCCCTCTTCATCTGCATACTACGGGAACATTTTAAACCTTTATCTTTACCGAAAAGAAATATTTCATGCATACTTCTTAAAGTTAGTTACTTCTGAAAATGGTCCAAAAATGGTGAAAAAGTTCGCTTGAATCTTCCTTGCATGTTACTTGTGGGTAGTCGAAGTCCTTAGATAGGGTTACCAAGACAAGATAGAATTTGTCCCCATTGTAATTTCAAAGAACTCAGAGGTAAGTTTCATTACATACTAAAGTGCAGCTCGCTACTTTCAGAAAGAATGCTATGCTTAACAGAAAAAAAGCATAAAATTTCAGAATATGATTAATTTTAAACACATTACGAATAACAATAAACACTGTTTCCTGAGAAAATTGTGCTCGTTTATAAAGAAAAAAAAATAAAATATGCCCCATATTAAATTACCATACTTCACATTTATAGCAACGTACAATTTTTTGGTTTCGTTTCTTATTCACGCATGCTTTATAGATCTACTGTTATGTATAAAATCACCTATATATTTTGTGATTTTTAAGCGGTTAGCTAGCTAACCGCTTTATGGCATGGGCCTCCAAAAACCGGAAACTTCCATAAGGCGCTACCTATCGACATCGCTTTATGGCACGTAACCTTATCCTTCTGCAACCAAAACCGGAAACTTTCCCCCTGGTGAGAGATTGACAATAAGCTGTGTATGAAGAGTGGCTATTATAACGATTATATCGAATTCTTATTATTATTTACCAAAGCATTGACAATACTGAGAACACTAACTTCAAAGAACTGAGAATTTGGTCCTTATTACATGTACATCGTGCGATCGCGATTTATTGCAACTGTTAGTTTATTTTTGAAAGTTGAACGATACGGTTAATTATACAGCAGGTTGAAG